CCGTCTTGATGCAATTCCCGGAATTCCGCAACGGAATTGGATCGTATGCAAACGGGATAACTTATCAGCACAACACAACAAATGTGGGTGAGGTGGATGGTGTGATAACTTATCAGTACAACACAATAAATGTGGGTGAGGTGGATGGTGTGATTCCGGTGCGGAATTCCGGAATCGGAACCAATTCCCGCAATTCCGGAATCGGTGGGAATTGGCGGGAATTGGTAGGAATTCCGTGTAATTCCGTAATTAGAAGTAGTTCACGCAATTCCGGAATCGGTGGGAATCGGTAGGAATTCCCAGGAATTCCGTCCAATTCCACTGAATTCCGTCTTGATGCAATTCCCGGAATTCCGTAACGCAATTAGATCGTATCCAAACGGGATAACTTGTCAACACAACACAACAAATGTGGGTGAGGTGGATGGTGTGATTCCGGTACGAAATTCCGGAATCGGAACCAATTCCCGCAATTCCGGAATCGGTGGGAATTCCGTGCAATTCCGGAATCGGTAGGAATTCCGTGCAATTCCGGAATCGGTGGGAATTCCGTGCAATTCCGGAATCGGTCGAACTCGATCAATCTCGACTGGGTGTCTTATGTTGTGTGTCGATCGAGTTCCCGGAATTGGACGGAACCAATTCCGGTGCGGAACTGATTCCTCCAATGTTCAACATCGCGGAATAGGATGCATTCTCTCTTTGAATAGAACTGAACTGTACCGTCAAGTTCAGTTCCTTTCAAAGAACTGTTTGGTAAAGTTTAGTTCTATTCAAAGAACTGTTGGTTCAGTTCAGTTCCTTTCAGAAGAACTGAACTGGTAGTTCTTTTGACCAGTTCATCCGAACTTGGAACTATGAACTGTCCTATCCCTAATCATATTTTGCTAATAAAATTAGGGTGTAGGTGATTGGAGGATGGAGTGTAGATGTTGCTATTGAATCATTCCACGCACACGCTCATCGAATAAATGAAAAAAATAAGTTTAAAAAGTTTATATTACATAGAAATGATTGATTCTAATGAACAAGATATATGAATCTGTTACAAGAATTAAAGAAAAAAGATATTGCATGAACGTTTAATTATATTGATGCTTTTTGACTTATATTTGAGTATGGGTACGGGTGTGACATAGTCTTGTATTCATCCACACCCACACCCAAACGCTCTACAACAAAATGGGTCGAGCAACACTTACTGACTTTGGCTATTTAGAAATCACTTGCTAATCTGTCTTTTTGATGCGTATGTTGATAATCGTTTCTTTCGTCAGAATGAATAAAAGTTTGCACAACATACATAACTCACCTTTTACGTATAACGGTGAATCAGTTACTGTATCTTGGTTTTTTCCAAAAATAGCAAACAAAATTATACATTCAGGTCGGTAGGAAGTATTACACAACCTCAAAATTATAAAGATCATTTTTTTCGATCCATACCCATATTTAGCCATTCTCTTTTGAAAAATAATACAATGCAAATATTTTGGATGAGTCATTGTATACGATGCCATGTTGAAAAAAATAAACGAATGGTTCTGTTTTTCTCGATATCTTTCATACTGAGAAAGTGGGTAAAAATATAAAAATGCCAACAAAGGAGAATATGAAGTGTTGCAAAAGAAAGTAATTAGAAATACTCACTCCAACAAACATTTTAAAAAAAAGTGTTAAAATTTTTACAAAAATAAAATCAAAAAAACCCACAATTCTAGTTTGATTTTCGTTAGTTTTAAAACGTTATTTTGTGTGCTCCCTTTGCCATCCTGAGGGTGTGGGTGGGTGTGGATGTGGGTTTATCTTTTCCTTGCTTCCACCCACACCCACACCCACACCCACATCCACACCCACACCCACAACCACA